CGAACAAACGAACAAACGAACAAACGAACAAACGAACAAACGAACAAACGAACAAACGAACTCATTCCTAACCATTTCCTATTTGAAGCAAGTACCCTTCTAACGTGCAGCTACTTTTTATTCACTTCTGAAGTAACTCTTCTAACTTGCCACATGTCCCTTATGGGCTACCGTACAAAAGCAAAGTTGCAGTTGAAAATAGTTTTTTGTACTTACACAGTAGACATCACAAGAAACACTGCAAGGACAAAGACGATTTTGGAAACCATTTCGAATGACTGTCGCTAGTATCACAGCTAGTTATTCCTTGCAAAAAAAGTCAAAGAAAAGTGTTAACTGATCAGTACTAAAAATAGCCCAACCGGGAATTTACATGGCGCGCGCGCACCACAATAAAAAGTTTCCCTCTCTTTTGTTTTTGCCCTCAACGTAATAAGTATTTCTCATTTGTTTTACTATAGATATGTTTGGTTTGAAGTCCAAAATGAAAGGAGAACAGGAGAACATTTGTTTAAAATGTTGATGTGCTATTATGCATGTCAAAGGATTTCAAATTGGTGTATTGAAAGAGTGGAGGATGGAAAAGTGAAGCGGAATTTTGTTAAAGTTGGCAGCGATAAAAGAAATTTAGCATTTTGAAATATATTTTTTTAAACTAGTTTTTTTTAAATAAAAAAGAAGACTTAGATGTTAAATTTAAAAATAATTTGGTTTGCATACATTTTTTTTGGACCTTGAATCATCTTATAAAGCTATAATAAAAAAATGATCAATACCATCTGCTATTCATGTCACTGGCAGGCTCTTACCCATGACGTCAACTTTTCAACGCATTGCATCAGTTTAGCGAATATTCGAACTAGCTAAAAAATGCCCCAATTTATTGACGAAAATTACAGGCCGCCCCGGCTCTTAAGCAATCAACTCATGTTGAGAAACTGATGTCATACGTCCGTCCTCTCACTGCCAAGAACACGCTTGACTGATGACGACAAACAAAGTCAGATAAAAAAGCCAATTTTGACGACGTCCCTTTCATCGTATCACGAAACAGCTTTTACGAGTTAATGTTAATGCTATTCGGATACCAAAAATGCGAAAATATAACACCTTTTTTTCATCTTCGTCCCATTTTAACAAATTTTATGAAAAATAAGTATCAAAATATTTAGGGAAAAAAAAGAAAGAAATTTATTACAAGCTGTGAGAACAAATGTTGATTACGAGTTCATAGGAAGAGAAAATATGTCTATTGTTTACATGACACCTTGTCTTTGACGTGGCTTTTTTGGTATCTCCTAACGAAACATATTTCGAAATAAAGTCAAATGACTGAGGTTTGAAATACCGTGTGAACACTTTTCAAATGAGTAAACACTTTAAAATTCTCTGAGAAAAAAATATTTAAAAAAATAGGTTTTATAGCCCTTTTCACGCCTTTAAAACGTTATGGGCGTGGCTAAATGTAAAAATAGCTGATTATTTTTTAACACATAATTTGTTATGAAAAACGATAATTTATTCTTTGCACATGACCAAAAAAGGTGTGAACTATTGGTATATCCAAGGGCATGCTTTGAAAACTTAAAAAGAACAGGTTATTAAAAGAAAGCTTACCTTTTCAAAAGCAAGTGAGAAATGTCGACCGGTTTGATTGAGTGCTGAACTGAAAATGATTTGTAAACGAAATACCGCATTCTTAACAAATGAACTAACGAAAACGACGTAAGATTGGGATTCAGTTAACCATAATAGAATCCAGCAGGTGTTGTTGTGGTTACCTGCCAGTACTGAATAAGTAATAACAGTGAATACGACAGACTACCAGACAAAGACCTGAATTTCTAGGCTATATATCAAGCTATTCAACGTGAAAATTTTAAAAACTTGTGCAGGTTCTATTTTTAAAATGTGCAATCGTTTGTATGAAAATTTCTATCGTATAGTCGGTCAATAGAATGGACAGCGGGGAAAATGCACTGCTTGACACCATGATATTATGATTATCATCGATTAGCATGTATATATATATTTAGTTATTTCTGAATAAAGATTAAATCATCAATAATATTTTAGCTTAACGCTGCTTTGACACAGCGTATGAACGGAAAGCCTAAGAAAGTACGTTTTTTAAAATCAAAAGATATAACTAGCTAAAAACTAGTGTGAGCTGCGTCGGTGTTTCTAATGAAACAGTAATGATGAAAAGGTAAATCATACACTGTGAAAAGATGAAAAAACTTACTGACGTTTCGGACGCTATAGTCCTTCGTCGGAGGACTAGCGTCCGAAACGTCAGTAAGTTTTTTCATCTTTTCACGGTGTATGATTTACCTTTTCATCATTACTTTTTAAAAATCAGTTAGTAATTCGTCCTGTATACCGTGTAAAAGCAGTTTAAGTCTTGTAGGTCACAGTTCCACAGATACACAATAAATAAACCTTTGAAAAACTATAGCCAATCAATATTAAATTTTGCAAATGGTTTGCTGTTTATGGCGTAAATAGTTGCTTTTTCAAAGGTTAATTGTCACGGTTAACTATGTGTTAAAAAAAGATTAGATATTTTCATTAGCTAGCATTTGAGAGTTTTTGAAAAGGCTGAAAACCCTGTTAATTTTTTTTAAAGACCTTTAAAGTGCTTTTTTATTATAAAAGTATGTAATCAGTATATGTTATGATAAAAGCTCAGCCCTTAAGCTTTATTTTGAGTTATGTTTTGTTAGAATAGGGGGGTTTCCTATTTTTTTTAACCTATCGTAGTTCTTTACAAGTTGGTTTCAATAAACGGGAAAAATTTAGGTCACGTGACCATGAAATTTACATAACAATTTCATAACATAACAATTTCCTAAAGTCGTTCAATTGACGTTGAGAATGGTTGGCTAAAGTTTGCGTTAAGGAGATATTTGAAAAACAGGTCACGTGACCTGTCAAAATATCCTTTATGCCCATTTTTCTCCTTTCGTAAACATTTTGGTCGACCATTCCCAACGTGAATATCTGTATCTTTGTCGCTACTTTCAAACAAGCTAAACAAATCTCACAAATAATCTAAAACCATCACCTAGTTTTTAATTTAGCATTTTCCCTTTTTTAAGGTCACGTGACCACCTTTTATGCAAATTTATCCATCCAAAAATTTAAGCACCCCAAATAAGGAAATGAAATTTATTCTTTCTTATTCATATGGATATGAAATTGGGCAAATTACTTATGGGAAGAGGACTGACTCATAGGTAAAATCCCGACTAGTCGGTCAGATATATAGATGCAAACAAGTTTCGATTAGAGCCAGTAAAAATCTTCATCTGTTGTCTATTGTTAGCAAGTTCAAGGTTGAGGAAAACCCTGTGTCGTGTCGTGGCATTTCAATGCGTTGTGAGACTGTCTTATTTAGGGGACGAAATAGACGCCATCTTGGAAACATGTCTTAAACAGTCCCACAATCTAAAATGCAATGCCAACTCGACCCAGTATTTTGCTCAACCTCGAGATGGCTAATAGCGTTAGCAGTCATTAAATATACAAATTTTGACTGGTTCATACTCAAAGTTTCCACACTGTTTATTGTAAATCTGATGCCTCATAATGGCTAGCGGTTACTGATTAAAAATTAAAACAAACACACTCAAAAGCCTGGGGTTAGCCTGCGTAGCGGCCCTCTCAGTCCCCCCTCCCCTTCCCTTTTCCCCTCCCCAGTCCCCTCTCCCTTCTCCTCTCGCCCAAAATTCTCTACCAGAGGGCCGCTACGCAGGCTAGCCTGGGGTGATCTTAAAAATGCGGAAGTACTTGAGAGTATGCGCACTCGAAGTTTGTCCGCCATTTTGTCAGGAGTGAAGGTTCTCCGCAACCTCGTTCCCAGGGCCTTCTCTTCTCGCTTTTTTCCGCTTTTTTTCCTTCGAGCTCCGTCATCCTGAAAATGAGCGAGAAGAGAAGGCCCTGGGAAGGAGGTTGGGTTCTTCGTTCAACAATAGGCCCTTTGCAACTAAGCAATCACGTGCTGATTAATTCACTGAGAGCAAATGAACATTTTGATTCCCATGGGTGGAATTTACTGGAGACACTTCTCGAGTGTTCTGTCAATACCCAAGTGCTTTATAACTCCACACAGCACAGCAAGCAAGTTTTTTATTTCTTTTATAAAACACAAATTTCAATAGCCGTTATTTTAGATAGGAATGACGCAACTGAATGTGCGCGCGCGTGCTCTGTGCTCTCATAAAGCACACGCTCCCAACCAATCAGAACACGACATTTATAACAGTTATTTTATAAAAAGCATTAGAATAAACCTACTAGCATACCGATCAAGAATCCTGTAATCTGATTGGCTAACGTACTTTTTTGCACGCGCTCTACTTCTTTGCTCAAGTTTTCTTTTTCTTTTTTTGTAAGCAAGCAGCGTAGAGCAAAAGCAGTATGCGCATGCACAAAAGCATACATGACAAATGTGATTCTAAAATTAGCATCAAAGGGTGCCTATGATAGTTACAAGCATGAATACCAGAGATTCCTTCCTTCTTTAACTTCATTTTCTCTTGTATATATATATTTCTATTTTAAATTTCATACATTTCTGTTATTGTAAACACATATAATACGATTTGCTCATTTCCTCGATACCGGGAAAATTTGATTTTCTATACAATTCAGTAATACAAGAACTATAAAAGTTGATTAAACCATAAAGAACCGTTATTATATGATCTGACAGTAATAGTTTCAAATATTTCATTTTAAAGCCTCCATTATATTAAGACGGAATTCATCTTTTTATTTTTAAAAGGCAATAAATTTTTACAATTTTTTTCTACCAACTATCTATCTATACTAGAAAGCGATTGTATATATTCATGTATTTACTTAATTTAATTGACTCTGGAAGATGTTGACAAAAATAGTTGTTCCAGTTTTTATTAAAGCGAAATGCTTTTCCTTCATTTCATTACATAATTTATATATCCTAATCAATACATCCTAGACATTACTATTATTTACTTTATTATATTATATTATAAATTTTACTAACCCACTTCTGATAGGCCGGGAGCCTACAGCCAGTTCATGATATCTAGAACTTCACACAAATTATCGACACCTTGGCTGTTTTAAACTTCTCAGCCTGCGGGTTCAGAAGATAATAATTATCTTCTGAACCATTATTGTACTTAACAATTTACAATATCAAGCTCAACCTCATCCAATGATCATTTATTACTGTCTCTAGACCCACTTAGCTTGGGCCATTGTTTTCCCATTTCAGACCAAGTGTCATTCCGTTGAGAATAATWTTTTTTTTTCATGTACAGCCTTCTAACAAAGAAATGATACTCTACTAGGAAATGACAAATGGTCTGAAATGGAAAAAACATTTTGCGCAAGGGTCTATTTGAGTTTGAGTCACTATACAAAAAGCACCAATTACCTAAGTTTTAAAAGAATAAAATAGAATAATATCGATGTATATATATGGACACCATTTTTGGGGACTTGCATACCTTTTAGCACCTTGAAACTTATTTAGAGCTTTTTCAAAAAAATATTGCTATTTTGAAGTAACTTGAAGATAAAGATATTTTGTATTTCGATTTCAAATTATCTAAAAGACAAGTTAATTAACTAGGCTGTACACTAATTTGTATAAATATAGAGCTATTATTTTAAACATGGAATGCACAATTCTTCGTTTGCAATAGCCACCATGTTGGAAGAATTTGACAAAAGATTTTTCAATGAATTCTTTTGTTATATCTTCCAACTTGGCGGACATCCCTTTTGTTATTGTGCTCTCTTGGGATTGATTGCAAACCAAGAATATATACTTACAAGAAAAGGATTGAACACCTTGGTTTGCATAAACCCGTAAAACAAACTGTAGCATATTTAGCACTATTTTGCTCTAGTTCTGTTTTCTATTGTGTTTATCTGACTACAGTATTACACCTTTGTTGCTACGCTTTGTTTAATCACGGGCTAATGAAAACTGCTCTAATGACAAAATAATAATAATTAGTTATTGAAACAAACAAGGCCGAGAAGGGTTATTCAGTAAAAAAAATAAAATATATATCCATTTGAAGTCATTCTTAATGGATTGTATTGAATCCACATTGAGACAAAGTAGCTTTTGGAATTAAATTCAATCTTCATCACTTCACAGGCAAATGCCCTTGAAAACCTTTCTGATGTCATGGAAACCCTTTGATTGATATCCACCAAAACCCTTTTTTGCTATGACAACAAATCATAAATTTCAGGCATGCTATTTAGAATGACAATAACATAACTAAGGGATAGATCCAGAATTTTGTTCAGGGAGGGCTAGTGCTCACAACACTATTTCAGGGAGGGGTGCACCTCTTAAAATCAAAGAAAAAATAACATTATTTTGTATTGGTTATCTTTGAAGTAGGGGCACAAAGTCAAACCAGGCCTGGGAGAGGTGTGCAACCCTCCCCTGGATCCACCCCTGTAAGTTATGTCTTGGGCAGCCAATTTTTATATTAACCTCATTGGTCTTTGCTCCAATATTCCACCTAACCATTTTAAGTGTACCAATTAACATAATTCTTTCATTAATTAGTCATATTAGCTCAGTTCTATGACATGAAATACATTAATGAGTTTAAATGCCAACAGCAGATGACATTACACTAAGTGTAATTATCAATTTATCTTATGGTCAGCACAGTTACAAATGTATATGCAAGAGCTTTGGAGATGACAAAAGATATGGTACAATGGGTCGTGCTGACAAATGGTCATATGCGAAACTTGGAGTCTTGAAAAATATTCCTACAATGTGGCATCGCTGTCAGCTAGGATCTCAACACACTCTTTTGTTTAGCTTATATCTTATTAGGGAATAAAAACAATACAAAAAGTTTCAAAGAATTTTGGTAGAGATACAAAATGTTGCCATTATGTAAATGATATTTTTAAAAAGCATTAAATGCATCTGCTGAGGCACTCAACTAATCTGCATATCTTATATTCTGTCATTGACCATCTATCACCCCTTAATACATAATATAATATATAATCATTAATATAGCCATGTAATAGCAATAATAACATTTTCCACATGAAATCCTTTGTAATTTTAAAGCGGTATCTATTAAGACAATATTTACGAATTATTTTTGTTTTGTTTTTGTTGTTAACACTACATGACATAATCGTGTAGTACAGTCTCAATAAGGACAATGTAGTATAGTACAAGATATCTGTGCACTGTATGTATTTCATCTTTTGAAAAACCAGATTATAAAATCTAGACAGAAACGTACCATATCAAAAAGATTTTATTCCATAGATACTGAACTAAAATCAGTAGCACTTATAAAATCTTCAGCTGAAGCATTACTAAATTCATCTTCCAGAGTCCTATCTTGAAAATCTGTCTGCGAGATGCAACCATCTTGGTTCACAGAAACGACCTGGGGAATATTTATCTCTACAATGGCAGTGCCATCGCTTTGAATACAAGAAGGTTGTATTTCTGGAGCTTCTGATTGAGGATGGATTATGACCGGCTCCTGAATTGTCACAGCAGTGGTAGAAGAAGTTTTATTCTTTCCGTTCGTGTGGGTTTTTACATGCTTAGACAAATGATCACTTCGCATGAATTTTTTCCCACACTCACTACAAGTGAACCTTTTTTCTCCCGTGTGAGTTCGTCTGTGTCGCTGTAGTTCATCAGATCGCGTGAATCGTTTCCCACAGAACAACCAGTTACACAAAAAAGGTCGTTCTCCTGAATGCCATCGAAGATGAGCTCGAAGATGAGACGTTTTTCCATACACTTTTCCACATCCTTGAATATGGCAGATATGTTGCTTGCGGCCATTAGCTGTTCTTCCTTCCCCATCACGGCAGTTAGGACAAGTACAAGCCACTCTACGAAGCCTACGACCAGTTGATGGGCTAATAGGAGTCGTTGGCGACGTATTTATAGAGTTTTGGGCAGTCGAAACCCCATCTAGTGGCAAAGTAACAGGAACAATATTACTCGTTGTCGTTGTCTGTTGTGGCGAGGCAACAACATTGAGGTTAATAGTCGCATTTGCCGCCCATTTACCAGCTTCACTTGCATCTTGAGTCAGAATAATATGCCCCTGCGGAGTTCGAGTAACCTGGATGTACGTAGGAGTTTGATTCCCATTATTATTGACGGGATTCACGACGATTTGCTGGGCTTGCTGCTGTTGTTGCGCTTCAATGGCGTTTTCAACTTCCACCATTGTCGTCGAAATGTTCGGCTGAGGAGAAAATTGATCGGAATTCGCGTTCGAATTTGGCCAATTTATCGTTTTATTTTGCCACCATTGAGCTGCAGAATTCACAGGATTGTCACCAGTTGTTGTTTTTGTAGACCATCCAGGGGAATCGGATATTCTTGTTTGCTCGAAAGAGTAGATTTGGTCAGGCGACTGAGGATTGCCGCTCGTTGTTGAAGGCGTTAATGGCAGTTCTTGGTTCGGAGCAGCGTTTTGTCGCTGATCTTGTGCAGGAGAACTCGTAACAATAGCATAATAAACTTGGTTAGTATCGATCTGACTTAGTGCATTTAAGGGGGAATATAACGCTGGACTTGAACTGTTTTGAGCAGGAAGAATATTAGGTTGATTCGACGAGAATGCATCGTTGACTTGGACAGAAGATGCCTGCTCCTGCGCCCAAACTTGAACGAAGTCTTGCTGCTGTTGAACTTGATTAATGGCGGATTGATTCTGGTCTTGTGGGAAATCAGGACCTTGTCCAATCTTGCTACATGTAGCAGCTAAGAGTGCCAGAGGAGAGGGCTGTATTTCCTGTCGATAATGTGTATAGTGGGCGGGCACAAGAAAGGGGGTGTGAGTTTTGAAGATGAGAAATTCAAATCATACACACTCGACTCGTAAACTATGAACACTAAACTACCAACCTGAGGGGTTTGAACCGGCTGAATAAACTCCATGTGCGGATGTTGAAGAGTCATAACGGTCATAACGCTACAACAACCTCCCGATTGCCTTTCTAGAGCGATTTTGGCGAGAAAAAAGGCAAAAATCCATTGGAACTCGGGTTTTTTCTGACAAGACTGGCTTCTAAAAAGACAGCTGCTTACGAACACTCGAAGGGATGCCGAATATCAGCCAATCACGTGGCCTCATAGCTGCTTTGATTGACATCTCCAGACTTTATAACAAGAAGCCATGTGCTCGAATCTTGACCAAAACTGCTCATTTTTATTATCAAAATGCTATAAAATCTTTACTTATAGTTTATCAATAGGAAATAAAGAGTTCACTGAAGTAATGCTTTATATCTGACGTGAAAGGGAAATTCTATACGGGTTTTCGCTGCACGAAAGCGACAACAGACGCTCACTCAGATGGCTTAAAATTATTTACATACTAAAATGTTGTTTAGAAAGCGGTCCTTTTCATCTACTAATGGCCAGAAGGGTTTGTCATTAACAATTATATTTAGGATTTATCATTCAACTTTTAGAAAGGTGAAAGAGGATTTACTTTTGGCATGGTCTAGACTGGACATGGACTGGACTGGACCCGAGAAAACATGGACCGGACGTAGAAAATGGACCGTGGTAGAAAATATGGACTCGGGGTCAAACGCATCTGGATACCTTATCTGTATGTCACATTGACGATCATCATGATGTAGCAAATGTTTTATCTTTTTAGATATAATTTCAAAGTTTCATACGCAAACTAATCGTGTCGGTTATTATTCTAGTAAGGTGATCATCGACATTTTCTATCTTTAAAGTGACTGAAACGTGCCGCATACTCTCTATTTTAACGATATTGTTGCTCAACAAGAATAGCTTCTTAGGCCAAGTTTAGACATCGAATCGGAAACTCAGCTCAAACAATAGGTCTTGACATTTGCAATAATTTCGACACATGAAATACGATGTCTAAACCATTTGAATAACATATTCATGCCATGCCTTTAGTTCCGAAAATTTTTTCTGCACTGAAGATAAATGTTTTCAGTCAAGACTTATTAAAATTTTTAATGAAAAGAACTGCTATTAGAAAATTGGGGCAGGAAAAGGCGATGCTTATATTTCTTTATTTTTTTTACTAGATCCACATATCATTCCGCCCTTTCAACTACTTTCTTTCTTTCTTTCTTTCTTTCTTTCTTTCTTTCTTTTCTTTCTTTCTCTCTCTCTCTCTCTCTCTCTCTCTCTTTCTTTCTCGATAATTGGAAGATTTTGCACTTATATATTCATACAAAAAGAAATTAAATTATTTCAAAACTTGAAATGGAATGGAATTCGAAACTGGTTTTGGAATGGACCGATTCGACTTTAATTGGAATTAATTAAGACCCGGCGAAACTTGAAACTAAGTAAGTTAAGAAACTGGTCAGCCACCAAACCAAGAGAAAACCCTGGAAAAGAGGACCACTACCAAAATGCTTCCTTAATTCTTTCTAATTCAAATTTTGTGGCCTCATTACTGTGGAAGAGTGTCTTTTATTTTTCCTTCTTTATTTTTTCTTCTTTTTCTTTCTTTTTTCTTTATTAATGTAAACGTTTTTTTGATTTACTGAACTTACTAATTTGTGCAAATTCGTACAATTTCTTACAAAGTTTTTCACGAATTTATGGTATGCACTCTAAGACAATAGTGCTAATTAACTGAACACAAGAAAGTGTGCACGGAACTCTGGTAGTCGTAGATGATACTATAATGCAAGGGTCTTATTCCGCGCAGTTTTTGGCCTCAAATGCTTGACTGCGGAACTAACATCGCGGGAGAGAACAATTTAACCTCGGTTGTGTCTTCAAGGCCGATGCGTCCAAAGAGCCTGATGTCTCTATTAGAGGAAGATCTATATTATATACTTTCAAAAGGTTTCCTTTGAAATAATTGATGCCAATCAAGTATGAGTGTACTTGGTTCTTGCCGGTTCTTTCAGATTCACGCTGACCTTTCCTTTCTCTGCAACCGCACGCACCGCCATGTAAGACAAGAGTCCTTCTATGGTCAGATTTTGGTTGGTGAGTACTGCCTCGTAGGCTGTTGCTTCTGCTTCAAAAGTCGACGTGATCCCAGCAGCTGTGGCGTCTGCTTGAGCGAGAATCACACTTGCTTCAGCATCGGCCTTTTGCTTGGTGATTTGTGCAGCGGTTATTGCTTCTTGTTTGGCGGTGTTCGCTGTTATAAGTAACCTTGGTCGCTGCGCTTTAGCTAGCTTGATGTTCTCTTCAGCACTTTCCTAAGGAACGACAACGAAAACAAGTATTAGGATGGGAACTATATGAGGGCAAGAAGACACGACAAGTAAGGCATAGTGCATGGTGAGGCATGCATAACTGCGAAGAAGGCGAAAGGTTTGACCATCATTGATTTAAGATCTCATGAGGCAAGTGGGTAACAAAAGGTAGGACTGAAAACAAGAAGGGTTAATTAGTTAAGTGGAAACAAGAAAGCGAATAGCAAGCGTGAAATGAAAAACTGGGGAAAATCTAGTAACTGTTATATGTCTAGCCGAGAAGACATTGATGAGGAAGGAAAGAATCAGAAAGTGTCAAATGCCATGCAGAAGGCAACGCAGCTAAATACAACAAAGAAAAGTTAAATGTTAGACAACATCTGGGTTCAAAGTCAGAGCATGGCTAATTCACAGATAGAACCCTGAAACAACTTCTAGCTAAGTCTAAGTTAGGGCATCACAACTCACAGATAGAAACACGGACACGACCTTTGGGCTAATCTACGTAAGGGCACGGCTTACTAACAGACGTGGAGACCCTGCGTCGGATCATACGTCTGCTAAAGGGAGAGACCTAATAAGCTCTGCACACATGTGATGCTGGGCCCAAAAACCTAATCAAAGACCGGCCAGACTAGGTGAGAGGGGAGTGCAATACCCCTATTCCATGCAACCACGATTTTCTAATTCACCTATTTCAGGTTTTATAATGTACGTGTTTCTTACCATATTTCTGACCGCTGTCTCATACGACGCAGGTCTCACAATACTACTAACTTGCAGATCAGTCAGATCAGCGCTCACATTGTTAAATCGCTGTGCAGTCAACGTTCTGACGTATTCTTGGAAAACGGCTCGTTGTGTTTGGAACTGCGTGACGTTAAACGCGCTGCAAGAATCGTGAATCGCAGCCAAGGCGAGAGACCTGGGGAAAAAATGCCGCATAAATCGAATAAATGTTTTGCGGAAAAAGTCAAAACAATTTGAAAGCAAATTTTCATACCTTTGATAAAAATACTAGCTAGATTCTATTACCTTAGCAATTTGGCATAAGTTTCATGGTTCTTATACCGTATAATTATATCTCGTAGGTTCTTGGGTCTCGCACGGTACTGGAACTGCTCATGGATTACAATGCTTACGCCTTCCTTGTTGAAGCAAGTGATCTTGTTGAATTTGATCGTCTTAAATACACTGGGGAACTTGATGAACTGGAAGCCTGGTGTACCCATGTGGAGCCCTGCAGTCTGGATTTTATCTCCAAGCTTCTTTTGATGGACATCGTAGGAAATACCGACTGGAAAGAAAAAATAGGGCAAACTCGCTCTTCCGATTGAGGTAATCCATTTTTCCCGCCCTTTTCGGTTCTTTCGGTAGACGAGTGTACTATTTCGAAAGCCAAAATTTCGCGCTCCTTTCTTAACGTTAGTAAATGAATTTACAACCGGATGGAGTGATTTAAATGTCAAACAACCACTTAAGCACCCCTGTTCTCCGCGCGTACAACGTAATTGTCAGGCATTTCTGTCAAGTTTGAACCGACTTAACTTCGAAAAGAAGTAAATTAAAAAAAGGAACTAGAGAAGAAAGGGAAAAAGAGAGCATATAAAAACGTAGAAGAAGGATAACGAGATTTCGAAAATTAACATTAATCCAGTCAAGGTTCGACCGGACTCAATGATTCAAGGTTCAATGATTAACGTTAGGTAAACCATCTTTCATCATTCAATACATGCAAGTATTGTTGATAAGTATTTTTTATGAAGTTCGTATCTTACCTTCCCATGTATCTATTCTTTTGAGGGAATTCACAACCAAAGCTATGATGCTTCCTAAAACAGCTAAGACCAGAATTATAATCAGAGTTTTCTTGTCTTTCCTATTTTCGCCAGCCATCCTGAATATTTTAGGGCGAAAGAAGCTTGTGCCGGGCTCGGACGGATCCTTCTGCGATCTCTAAATATCAGATCTGAAAGATTACTTTGTAGCGACTAGAAATGAAGCTTCGTCGAATCGAGAATAGCACCTTACTTAAGCATTAACAAATAGTTTGGAATTTATTCATATATGGAAAAGTTTTTGATCATCAGCGAATTTTCTTTTGTTTTTCCATCTGGGTGACAGCGTTGTTTATATTGTTACCATAACAGACTACATTGTCAATCAACTCCTACGCACCTTCGTTCCCTGGCCCCCGTCGTTTCATGGAAGATTATGTGAATTACGAAAATAGTGCAGTTGTCATTAGAGTATAGATAAAGAACTTCAAACAATCACATGCGCATAAAAAAATCTGCCGATATAACGCCAAGTCCGCCACCGGATCCCGTTCAACAAGAGCAAGGAGAAATGCCGGCTAGCGCTGTTACTAGTAACCACCGTAAATTTATCTTTGGTATATTGTTCGTGGGAGCTGTTTTGACGGTGGTTCTGGTGGTGCTTGGTTATCAAGATGTAAACTTCTATGAAGTAAGTTAGTAGGTAGAGTAAGAAATGGTGGGGTTTAGTTTGGTTTGATCAACTAGCTAGTACGTAGAAAAATAGTCAAATCCTTAATTTTTGCTAAGCTGTAAAGCCATCAGACATAATTGCCGCAAGTCTTGTGCAAACTAGTGAACCTGAATTAACCTCTGGGCTGATCAAAGTCAGGGCACGCCGTCTAACTCACAAATCGAACCCTGCATGAAAGAACTCAGTTCTAGGTCGATCTTAGTAACTAGTAGATCTTTGTCACCCTTGCAAAATAAAAAACTGGAAAAAACATTTCAACTTTGATTCGCGATACAACTTTTTCTTATCCCTTGTATACCGAAAACCCCCATAAGTTCATGAAAGCTGAGTGTGTCTTGCATGCGAAGGTGAGAAACTTGCAGGTGAAAAGACTTAGCTACAACCGTGATGGAGTTCATTTGCATGTGTTTGCCGTGTTTGGGAGGCCAAGCGAGTGAATTTGCATTCTGAGCAAAATTACGATGAAAAATTTTGTACTTTAAAATGGAAAAACTAGTTTTCATATCAGAATCCCGAAAACGTGTACAGTGTTAAAAAATAGCTTTTTTTTGAGGTCTATCTCAGTTTTTCGCGACGAAATCATTCTTAATATAGAAAATACATCAAATTTATTCAACATTTAAATTCATTCTACGTGGGTTGATGTTATGGTATATAGAGCCAATCATTTTCTTCTACACTGTTTATCAACTCATAGAGGCTTTGCACCATCAAGTGATAGCAGCCATGACAGGAGGCAAAACAACAGAGTCGTTCTTCCCTGGGAAATTGAATTCCCTCTCATTTAAAACAGAACGTAAACTAGATTCAATTGTTCCTGCCTCTTCTGATGGCTGCCACCACGTGATGGTGCAAAGCCTTTATAAACGTAAAAGAGTCCAACTGAGTGTTGTTGCTAAGCTACCACAGTCCTTTGTTATGCCCCTCACAACAAATTCCAATAGATAACAGCTGTTATTACAGTGAGATATTCTTTTGTTTACAAATCATATAAGTGAGACTATCGGGTCGATATAATACCTGCTGTCTCATTTCTTAGCTTATGAAAGTCCAAAATTACAAATTTTTGCTTAGTTCTTTTTCACTGCGCGAAAATAATTTTTTAAAGAGCAAAAATTCTAGTTAAAAAAAACATAAAAAAGTCTTGTTGATTATTATAGTGGTTATCCTTTTTTAATTTTATGTAATTCCAAATAAACTAATTTAATGTTTTAAAATATTTTTTTCTTTTAGTACGGATTTCTGAAGCGCAAGTCAACAGGAAAGGTAGACACATCCAAAGTGTACTTAAGTGGAAGGCACTTCGTTGGGCCCGACTACACGTTCAAAAAGTTCAAAGCAGATGCGCACTTTGAAGACATTAATAACATAGCGGTCTTTACATCGGATAAACTCGAGGTCCAGACCTCTTGTGCGTTCCAGTATTTCCTGAAAATTGAAGACCTGGCGGATTTGCATAACGAGTATGACCTGTTTTATCAACCTGTTATAAGGAGCACTGCTCTATCGGCACTTAAAGGTATGGTAGAATTGAGATGAAGTTGTGTTACAAAACTACAAAGATCTCCGGTCGTCGTCGAATTTTTTAGCTCTAGATTTGCGCAATAGAAACTTACACGAACCCGCTACACTTCGTGATCTCTCTTCTGCACGCGTGCTGCGCATATTCCTTAAAGTAATTACGCAATAACGTCGATTATGCGCAGTAAGAAACAAGGGCTCTGGGTACGAGATTGTTCTAGATAAAATTTAGTTCGTACGGTGAAAGGCATTGTTTAATGGCAATATTTTTTTGAAGGCTGCTTTTGCATTCAAACTTAAGGAGCCCGCAAGGTCATAACAATCCAAAAACTACGCATCATCTTTTACTTAAAAATACAGACTTTTTAGATTTAAATAAAATAAGAAATTGCCAAAATTTTGAGATTAGGAAGAGTGCGCAAAACAGTGAGAAGAACCCTAGCGTTGCGACACAAATTACGAGAGTGTCACATGATGCAATGAAGACACAATCGTTGCCAAACGTAGAAATGAATTCTAGTTTTCGCAACGATTTTCAAATTGCGCTGTAGGCAATACACGCTGCAATGCTCCATGCAACTTGTATCGCAACGCCGTTGCAAGACAAGTTTCAGAGAAAATTGCTCCGTGTAATCGCGCCTAAAGTAACAAATTGCGCCCTTACAAGACATCTCTTTTCTAAACCTTGTATACGTAAAGCGAAAAGTACGACCAAGTGTATTTGTAATCTTTAGGGCGAGCAGCACTGATCTCAATCGAGTATTACTTAAGACAACGTGCCAGGGTTGAACAGCAGCTATTTCAAGCCCTGAAAGATCGTCTGAATGGGGTATGTTGCAGAGAGAACTGCGAGTCTACAAATTCTTGCAAGCCAGGGTGTAAACCACGTTCCTCGTGTCTGAGGGAAGACAAGGGTTTGTTCGTTGAAGTTGATATGTTCCAGTTGCATGCTGTGCTGATACCCAACGATGTGAAGAGCCGTTACTTGAGCCAGGTCATCGAGAACGCAAAGCCAGGAAAAAGAAAACTATGTTCAACAAGAAAAGGTTTGGGATTATTATCTGTGTTCTGTTAATATTTTGTTGCGAGGGTGATGTCTATGGGAGGTACAGAGTTGTTGAATGAGGTCAACATGGAGAGAATGGAGAGAGAACGAGAAGGAAAGGGGAAGTTGGAAAAGATAGGATGGAAGGAGAGGGGATAAGAAAGAGGAAATGGAAAGGAAGCAGCACCATGCAAGGGAGGAAGCTGGAAAACTAGAGGGTCAGAGAAAAGAGGGGAATGGATAGAGAAGCGCATGAGATAGCAACAAAAGAGCATAAATAAGAGAGAGAATTTTTTTAATAACGCGCACGCCATGTAAATTCCCGGTTGGGCTATTCTTAGTAACCAGATGCAGTTTAAATTTGCCTTACCCCATTCCCACGCGTCTTCAACTTGCGCGCGTGCTCTCTTCGTTTATTGTTTTGATCACTAAAAACGAAATGGAAAGAGCGCGCGTGCGCAAGTTGATGACGCACGGGAGTAGGGTAAGGAAAAAGAAAAAAGAAAAATGAAATGAAGAGAAGTGGGTATTTTAAAGGTGACAACAAAACCCTATAAAAAGATAATAACATACCTTGAATCTATTTACGCTCAGATCGTACGTAAAGAAACCGAGAAGATGATCCAGCAAATCAAGAATGAAGCTCAAGTAATATCTCAGAAYGCCTCAGCCCAGGCCGAGCTCAGCAAGACGCGTGCTCGCTCCCAGGCCCTGGTCAAAGTGGAGAAAGCCAGGAACAGTGGTCTGGGAATCATCCACAACCGCCTGAACATTACCATTGAGCAACACAAAGCTTCGTTCAATTATCTGCGCGCACTTCGAGATCATAAGAGTGTGGCACTGAATGTTAATTACGATACTCTTATGGCGCGCGACTAAGATACTTCCGAGGTACTTTTCGTTTCAAATCGCATTACATAATTACTCCTTCCCTGTTGAGAAGATCTCGTATGAATGCGAGAAGTAAAGCTTGGTTCTCCCACGACACAAGCGTAAGCATAAACGCAAGTAAAAATATCACCATTTTTTTTACAATTGAACATGCGTTGTAGTGAAAACCAGGCTTAACAAGCGGCACGATCACGGTACTGATTGATGTTATCTTTTGAACCAATCACAGCGCGCAAGAACTTTCTTTCTAGTATCGTATCATTATATTGTATATATTATTGATTATTTCATATATTGTTGTGGACTTTTCATTGATGACAATGCATTGTACAGTAAAACACGTAATTCAGTCGGAAGATGTGTTGAATTTTGAAAATAAACTATTGGTCTATCTATTTAGGTTATCATCCAATGAAAATACTCAGACACGGTACCGTCACGGTCACGGCACTGATTCATGTTTTCTTTTGAACCAATCACAGCGCGCGAGATCGCTTATCAACCAATCAGAATGCTTGGGCACAGAAAAGGTAACGGTATCTCGTAAGCTATCCACGATCATACGAAATCTCATTTGATCAGTAACGTTAGTAATTGATAACTTTTTTAGCTACTGCGTTTTCTACTTTTATTATTATAGATTATTAGTGTTTGCAAATACGAATATCAGACGTGAACGAAGGTTTCGTATGCTGAAAGCAGTAATCAGGGCAGCCACGTGAAACTAGGATGAGATTGCGTTACAAAATTATTTATTAAGTATTTTTACATTTTAGTGACATTATCAGAAACTGTATGCAAAAAATATGATATAGTTTAACATTTCAGACTAAATAGAGCGAGAAACAGCTGCAATGAGATATAGGTAATTTAATGCAAAAATATCCCCACACATTTTCTCTTATTTGGTGCTGTGTCTAACTTGATTGAAGTGATTGAGAATAAATCGTTAATAAACCCCTTGCACGTGACGTCAAAGCACCTCAATTTTGAGCATAAAACAAAAGAATTTCAATCTGACGAGAACTGAAAACCTATTGTTTTGACCTCCAAATTGAGCTGCATTCAGACGTGCTGCAGGGCGTCTTTATCTACAGCTCGCTGGTTAAATTAGGCGGATATTGAATGTAGGCAGTGGTATGTTCTCTTCAAATACGCACATTTCAAAACTGAATTGCAAAATTTGGAATTTGATGCCGCACACTTTTGTACTCCATAGTCTTTTGACAAGCTGCTTTATGGTCTAGCTTTAGTACGAGATAAAAGAAGAACAAATACGTGTACCCAAGCTGGACCAGAATGCATCTTGGTCTATAATCGTACTCAGAAAGTCAGAGAAACAGATTGTTGCGTAAGAAACTTTCAAAACTATGATCTTATTTTTTTTAGCTATAACCTAACTGAATTTGTTTGAGATTTTCTCTCTAATTTTGCACAAGAAAGCTGTTTTCTCATGCACCCATTTCACATTCCCTTGAATTACAAAACCTTTTCTAGTTGTATTGGATTCGTAATATCAATATTATCTCTGCCCTTCTTATTCGGTTCCCGACTTCAAAGGATCTAGATATTCTATCTTCTGTTTATGTTATGAATGCATTTTCTATCCGTAAATTATTTTTTGCTCTTTTTGCTTTTCCCCCCAGATTTCAATAATTCTATCTCGTCTTGTTGTGTGGTCAACTTTTCGTTCATTCCACACAAGTGTTCACTCATCATTGATAACTGTGTTTCATAATTTCTCTTTGTAACGTCAAGTTCATCCTGAGAATGAATGATAAACCGAGTGAGTTCTTATTTTGCTACGTTTGTTATTCTATTTATGGAATAAAGGGTGACGTAGGGGAGTCAGGAAAACCAGAGAAAAATCCTTGAATCAAGGGAGAGACCTAACGAACTCTACTCACATGTGATGTCGAGGTCAGGAATAGAGTCTAGGAATAGAGAGGTGCGCGTGCGCACTACCGCTACACCACCCTTGATTCCATGGTCGGTGAAATAGTCAGTCTGTTCGAACGGTCGGATGGCTATTCCGTCCAGTTGGTTGATCGGGTTCGTTAGTAAGTCAAAATAAGAAAGCAAGCTTCTCACCTCAATTTGTTTAACCCTAGCATTGGCTGTCAGTAGCTTTTGAGAAAGCCCATCTCTGTCTTTCTCCGATTGTCGTATTCGCTTGTACAGTGAGCGGCACTAACAACAGACCAGAATAATGTTAGCAACAACAACAACGACAACAAAAATTATAAATAAATAAATAAATAAATA